AAAGCATATTCAAGTTTACAAATAATTTAATTAAGAAAATAAACTATATACATAATTTAATTAAAAATAAAGAAAAAGGTACTAATTACTTAAAGTGCATCGTGTCCTGATTATTTACTGCAGTCCATTCCTGTTATCGGTGGTAGTCATGTTCTGTAAAGTTGCCTTGAACTCAGATTTTGTGAGTCCTGTGTCAGAACCACTGTAATCAGGGGAAATACAGGGTTACGTTCCTGAAAGCGTCTGGTCACGTTTTCATCAGCCGATCAAAACATCACCTTCATGGGTGTTTCCGTTCAAAGACATCTTCTTTAATACACGTTGTTGACACATTAACATTGAACTCCCAGCAAACAGCCCTCTGACTATTGCCTGAACAACGCTTATCTGATACATGTATTCTCATGCTTCTCATTGCTCTGCGTGTCTGTGAATGACCACAAGAGCATATGAGGATTGATTTCAGGGTTACAAATAAGTTTTAGCAAGTGGGCAGATTTGCAAATATGGAATCCCCAAATGATGAGGATCAACTGTATATGTGACGATGCTCTTGGGGTCATTTCCCTGTATTGTACCTTTTTGGTGGAAATATAACTCTGCTACTGTGTACCCCTTCCCAAGTCCTGAGAGTGGTGATGTCACTCTATTGTTTGAAATTGGCCACGTGGGAGCATTTACACCATGGGAACTGGCAAATGTTCCCAAGAGAGGGTTGACTTGCTGACTGTCTAGATTTAAAGAAAGACATGGGGAGATATTAATAATGCAGATTAAACTTAAAATGGTACCATGTCTGGAACCATTACATTGAGAATAGCACAGAAAATTGAGGGAATACCTTCCCAGTAGTCAAACACTATTATGTGCTTCAGCAAAGAAGTCACTCGGTGATCGATGAAGTGATCGAGTGAAGTCCTGACATGTGTATGACATGTGTCTTCCTCCTTCGTTTCATGTTAATCATTAATGTAAAAAAAAAAAAATCAACAGATGTTCACGTCAGAACTATACCCTTTTGTCAACTGCAACAGGCTGGCTATGACAAAAATCAACAAAAGCGTTCTGTGGCTATCAAGTGTCAAACAGAATTTACAATTACGTATTTTATTACGATGTGCAAGTTGTGTCCCATACATCCTTTATCAGGAACACTTATGACTTTAAACTCATTCTTTCCAGAGGGCTGGTTGTTTAAGAAGCATCCCACTGATTCTAGCTGAGTGGCCTCACTTACTTAACCCCCAAGCCTCAATTTATTTAGAGGTAAAACAAAGAAGGAACATCACTTCCTCCCAAGATTTTGAGAACTGAATGCACGATTGTTTCTGATATGGTTTCTAGCATAGAGACTCAACAAACGTCCGTCCCCATCTCCTCACCTTGTCTGGAGGGCAGAACCAGTGTCCGAGCCATTCCTGTGGACACACACCCACGCCACGTTCCCAGAGCTGGCCCTGGACAGCCGTCTGTCTGGTCTCCTCAACAGGCAGATGAAAGCTCACCACTAGGTGGCATAAGCAAGGTGCCTTTGCTGGCTTTAGTTCTTCAGACAATACAATTGGTTCCTAATAATGAGATGTGTTTTATTACTCTTACCAGGCTAGAAAGAACATAAATGAAATGTTTAAATCCATAGTCACTGTGCTCTGTCTAGACAGTTCCAGTCTGGTAATCAGTACAGGTGCCCCGAGCAAAAAACATTATCCTCTGAGCCTCTTTTCAGACAAGGGTAAAACGAGTTAAGAGTCACCTCTGGCAGAACCAGTTTTCTTCTGGCAAACCCACCCACTGCCTTGTCCTCCTAGGCACATAATGTGACCACTGCTGGCTGCTGCATACTTTCCATAACCAGGGCCAACCCAGGTATGTCCTGCCTAATAAAGCGGCAGAAAAGCCCCTCTCCCTCCAAACGTGTTACCTACTTTTCACAGGTAATACACATGGTAAATGAGGCTTTTCTGGAAACTGATGCTTTAAAAAGACGATTGCATTGGCAGCAAACTTCGGCAGGGCTGGAGAGGGCCGAGAGTCTCCCAGTCATCTATGTCTGCCCTGGGGTATTTCTTGGAGAGCCACTTACTTTTCCTTTGGGAGGCAATTGACAACTGGCCTTTATTAGTGAAGTCTGCATGGGCTCACCTGCCACCTACTGGTGAGAATGTTTACCGTCAACGTAACTGTCCCTCATTGTGAAACCACAGACTCCCATTTATGTATTTATTATTATTTTATTATTACTTAAGTTTATCTATTTAAGAGGCAGAGGGGTGGAGAGAGAATCTCAAGCAGGCACCGCGCTATCAGCCCAGAGCCCGATGTGCGGTGTGATCTCACAAATCCGGAGATCAGGACCTGAGCCGAAATTGACAGTCTGGCGCTTAACCAACTGAGCCACCTAGGTGCCCCAGACTCCCATCCATTTAAATGCCCCAACGCTTCAGGGAATTTCAACTTTTTTTTCCCCTTGAAAAGCAAAATGTATCAACATTTGAGAATTAAAGTGATAAAAATCAACTTGATTGGTTCTCTGTCCACATGGAATTCACAAATAAGATTTTGTAATGAAGCTGTTACTGAATACATAGCTAGCTTACTGTGTTCTCTGCTCCGCTCTGCTCTGATGTCTCCATTACTGATTGTGACTAATAGTTTCACGCAGCTGGGATGGTTCTAGTCATTTTAATGAAACTTTTTGTAGCGATTCCAAGTGGATCAATGCTGAACATCAAAGAACACATGAGTTTTTTGTAATGTGCAGACATTTCTCCCTATCTGAAACACAACAGAATGTCGCCTTGTGTTCTTGAATAAACTAAATAAACACAAGGTGGGATTTAACCTCGGTGTAAATTCCTAGGTGTCTACTCCGGAGTCTTTGAACAGAAGTCCAACAACCAGCATACCAGACTGCCGAGGAACAAAGAGCAAATTCGTAATAGCGACTCCGAAACAAATAGTGGCTCAGAGTGAATGAAAAGGACCACAAGATAGTTTGTTTTTTTTTTCTTCAGCATTTATTTTGAATTTTCATTTTTGGATAACCAAGCAGCTCTTTAAGGAGAATGCACAGAAGAGTCATTCTGGCACTTTTGGATAGTACATACGATTTCTGTAATAGTCACATTCACTTGCTCAGTCCATACTCTGTGTCTGGTGAGCAAGGTCAGCCCATAGGATTCCCGAGTTAATACATAACCGTATATACAAACAGCCAATGAAACCATAATGGTGGCTAGTGGCCAAAGGGACGGAGGAGGGCAGGGGATCTCTAAAGTGTCCTCTAGTCTACCTTAGCTCAACAGAATTCACGTCACACATGGGCACTAGAGAGAACACTGCGTTGAAATGAGAATTCGGAGCAGAAACGGGCATTTGGCAGCATGCAGCTTAAAGAAAAGGGATATCATTTAATAACTTTATAAAATCCAGGCAGTTCAATGAAAGGAGTTAAGGAAAAAAACAAAACAACAACAACAAGAAGAAAAGGTGAGGGGACTGCTGTTGTCACTGTAAAAAAGGCACTTGGAGTTAATGGGACCAGAATTGAAGGGCTCTCAGCTGATAAAAAACTTCAGTACGATTTCATTAAAAGGCTTGTTTAAGAGATGACACTCAGGAGTTCGCGAAAAGAGACACCGAAATAAACCGTCGAGAAGCAGAACAGATGAAAACCAACAAATAAAATCTTTCACAACCAAGTTGTGTGTGTGTGTGTGTGTGTGTGTGTGTGTGTGTGTG